AACAGATATGTATTAACTGAATGTTTTTGTATATGTCTGCATATTTATACCGAAGTTCGATTGTCGATACATTAAACGTATAATGATTTTCTTTTAAAATACTAAGGTAATTATCTAGTTTTGGGGCAATGATAACTCACGAGAATAAAAAACTACTACAACTAATCAGAGATGAGTACTCCAATTGAGTAGACGAATAATATAACACTTCACCACAATTCCTTCATATTTTGGATTAGCGTGAACACTTTTCTCTTACAACGTCACAAGATGCATGTAAGCAAATCATGTATTCTTAAAACAACATAACTCACGCACGTAACCCAGTGGGGTAGGCAAAGACCACAAACCTTGACGCGGTCCTGACACTCCTCTCTTGCTTTTTCTACATTCATACATATACGCATACATGCACTTCGTTTCAGGTGCTTATAATACAGCCCTTCTAAAGTATTTCATCGAGTATTCTTAAAAGAAGGAAGGATAATAAACTTTAGTAATGTTAGAAGCATTTGTTAATAACAATATAACTGGTTGTGAACACATCTCAGTCTTGTATTGGCACAAATCATGCCTTAATTTATAGTTCGACTTCCAGGAATATGTTATCAATCCGCGACGTCTGAAATTCGATACGATTCGCCTTACGTTACTTTATACAAGTCTGTATTTGCTCATCATAATTTACGTATAAACATCATATTAATTAAATAATTCTCTATAATTAAGAATGGAGAGATCATGTTCGTGACAAACAGTTAAATAAAAGGTATTTATGGACCCCGTTCTTGAGCAAAGAGAGAAAGGAACAGATAAAAATCCGCTTCGTCTTATGAGCAGAAAGTTCTGAAAGATGGATATCCTTGCACTACGATCAAGTAACAAACTGTTATTGGTCTTGAAAAGGCGTAAGGGATTTTGTGTGACTTTTAAAGACTAGAACGCTCTCCCCCTCACATGACATCTTCATATCGATGTCAGTCACAAAAGCGGGTTGATCTTACGCATTCAAAACTCCTGGTTTGGTCAGAAGTCAAGTGACGAAGATCAATGACATAAATAGCAGGAGGCGAGAAAAGGCTCGTTCTGATGGCGATTCATATCCAGGCAAACTTTAGAGATATAATACTACTACTAGATACTGTAAAGTTATGGAAAAAGTAAATGGTAATTATTTTAATTTTAAAATAATAAAACGATACTTTTATCGAACCTATTATTATCCATTAGGGCCTGGTGAACAAAGCGGAATGCCGGGTGCACAGCGGACGATAAGCGCCGAGGACAGAGTCGGCCGCGGGCTGGCGGGGTCGAGGGGAGCCTGGGGAGTGGACGAGAGGGGGAAGGGCGAGCGGGTCGACGCTCGGCTCGTAAACAGATAAGGTCGATTGATTACACATACACTGCCTAGTCTTTGTGCAAGCACTGCAGTCTGAAACAACGGAAGGTCGAAAAAATATAAATCCGTCGCGATTTCTCGTGATAATAGAAACAATTGATTTCAGTCAGAAGGACTGAAATAATTTTCAAACTTCATCACTGCAAGGAATATTGAGGTAGATCTGGTCGTAAGTAATAATCTAGCAAATAACTTCTCTTAAAAACAATAAATTAAAGTATAAATTATCCACCTACTAGCTATCGCCCGCGACTCCGTCGGTGCGGAATTAAAATAACATAATTAGTAGCCTATGTGTTCCTCCAGACTATCTTCTATATGTATGCCAAATTTAATCCAGATCCGCTCAACTGTTTTGGAGATGCCTTCAAACAAACATCCATCCATCTAAACATTCGCATTAGTAATATTAGTCAGATATTAGGTATTTTGCATTCACTGTATCAATGGTAATCCCCAGTTCAAATTCAATTGACTTAATAATCAAAAAAGTCCTTAACCTGGCATTTTTATCCTCATCCATTTGTAATAATATAATATGTAGTATTCATACAGGGGGTATGAAAACAATAACTGATATCCGATGACTTAGTTCATTGAATTCACATCATCGGTCAAAATCGACAGCTCGTTGTGCCGGGAGCGAGGGTTAGATCGAATTACGGGTTATTATTGATTGTTGAGTAAAGAAACGAATAACAAAGAATGTTTCAGGTTGTAGTATTATTTTTAAAACATAAAACAAGGAGACAATCTGGCTATTCTCCTGATGATCCACAATAATATGGACCTACAAGAGTATTCATACTAAATCTGGATCATCTATAGCTTTATAAATGTATAGCTGTCGCCCGCGACTCCGCGCAGTATCGAAAAAGAAATCTTCTTCCCGACTATGTTCTACATCTATGCCAAATTTCAGCGAGATCTATACAGCTGTTCTGGAGAAACGTTCAAACAAATATCCAGGTGTCCATCCATCCATACATATATTATATTTATCGTATTTATATTAATATTAGTAATATTCTCGCATGTTTTCGAATATAATGCGATAATGATTCCTGTAAGAGACTTATGAAATATGAAAGAAGTGTGTCTATTATATTCTTTAAGGATTACAAAAAGATTTAATTAATTCCCGACCCAGGCCATTGCATTGTTATTAAATAAACAAATGATTACTTAAATAAGTTATTTCGCTTTGTACAATAAATCTAGACAATTATTTAATAAATTGCCCAGGGATTTAATAGCTATAATTTATTTCAGCAGTCTTTACTTAGACAAAATGTATGGTTTATGGTTTTATGGAATGAAAACATATTTGTATTTGTTATTTAATTATTTTATACGTAAATAAATATTAGCGCGGTATCAAATTACCAAAAAAAAAATTGCGAAAAAGGTTATAACATAAAACTACACTTCGTTCTAATTCTCGTGTAACAATTTCGTGATTTAACCTACGTTAGGTTACGAGATTACCTCTTTGGCAGCTCGCCCAAAACCCTTCAACAACTGAACTAAGCCACTCGTCTTAAATATTCTATAGAAAATGCTGCATTTTCCACTTTATGTCTGGAAAGTTGTGACGATATAACTCTTTGCAAATTGCTTCACTGATGAGCTGCATTAATAAGACGACGGATTAAACTTTATACAAACTCCCGTATACAATAATCTAGCAAGGATCTAAAGAATAGTAATCACTACCCGTTTTCCACAAAACTTTTAAATTTAAAACACGAATATAAAAGACATCAACGAGTTAGTAGCCAAATCGAGGTAATGTTTACAAATGAAGTAATATAAAAATATTACGGGTTAGATTTTCTTAGCCGTTTTCTTTTTATATTTTAGCACGAGAATCTTGGCACGAGTACATCGACAGCGAAATTGAAGAGTGTGTGTAGAGAAAGGGTATGCAGATGTTATCCTCGATTTTAATGCAAGTGTCCGTGAAAGCATCGTAAGTAAAAAGACAATTTGTAAATTGCGAAATGTAATTGCAGGCGCTGTGCTGGCGGCGGCAGCGGCAGTGGCGGCACGGCGCGGCGGACCCGTGGCGCTAATGAAAATTTAAAGTAACCGGTGCGGGCACTCTTTTTGGTACAAGACAAGAGCACATCGCTACTTTGGAAGAACTTACGTAATTTTTCATTGGCACTATCTCTATCTTTTATAATAATAGCAGACATAAAGCTTAAAGACATGAAGTAAAATAATTTAAAATGTATTGAAATGTAAATACACTTAGGTTTTATTGAAAACCTTTCATATTATTGATGTGCAAAATACCAAATAAATAATAAATTACAAACATCTTTTTTGTTCATAAATTATTATGCATTATACATTGATCACCTGTCTTTCACATCCCAATAACCCACCAGACTTCAAATATTTTAGCTAAGTTTTTCAGCTAACACCCTTAATAGCTATAGCTAAGTTAAAGGTTAGGTCACAGTGGTGCTGAAAATTATGGGCTACCCAACTTATGTATGTAACATGTATAACTTGTAATGTATATATACAACTTTTTTTTTATATGATAAGGTGGCAAACGAGCGAGCGGCCACCCGAAATCGCTGAAGTAGCGAAGTGATCGTTGCCCACAGACATACGCATTTGCATATGCGTTGCCTACCTTTAATCGACGGAGGAGAGGATGCACAGAAAGAAAATATTTTCCCTTTCCATGCATCCTCTCATCCGGAAGGTCCACTTTCACTTCCCATCCTTTCCTTATAAGAAAAGGGTGGGAAGGGAAAGAGGACTAAATTAGGCCTCCGGGACGCACACTCATCAGACGAAACGCGGAATTGCTTCCACTTCACGCCTGTTTTCTGTGTGGTGGTGGTATTTCACCGGACGAACCAGGCCAATTCGTGCGAAGATGTTAAAGCGGGTTCTACCACACTTGTATGTTTATGTTACCTAATAATAAATAATCATTGACTGATACGTCAAATTTTGGATAATAGACTAGACATTTGATTACTGCATGTATTTATGGTGTTCAAAGTGCAATACAAAATCGTTTTAAGTTACTAACTTGGGCCAAAGCTGTCGAAGGGGGTTCCAGGCACGGCGGGGTGCCCGCAGCAGCATGGTCCGTTGCATCGCGACCTCAGTGCACTGACCCCCGCGCCCCCACAGCCCGCAGCCCGCAGCCCGCCGCTTGCCTCCGCCGCTCGCAACCCGCCGTCTGTCGGCCCGCTGACTGCATCTATGCTGTCACCAGAGAAATCCCTCAAATGATATAAACAATGGTTAAACTCCACAATTCTTAGGTTATCTTACAGGCGTCAGTTTTAACTGGACAGGTCGACTGTTTAAACTTAAACTGAATTTGTTTAGCTTAGCTTAGGGCTTAAAGGAGCATGTTTTTATTTGTCTACATGGATTTTTATGTGTTACCTCTTAGTGTGGCCTAATTGGCTCTCTTTCTCTTCCCAACCTTTTCTTATAAGGAAATTAAGGGAAGGAGAAAAGGATTTAACGGGGGAGGGGACCCTAAAAATCGAAACCTCTACATGTGGAAGCACCATAGGTAGTATCTATTGTTGGTACTATCCTAATGTCATGAAGGTATACGATGAAGTTCATAGGTAATGTGCAACCGTACTCTTTAAATGACAGCTACATGATTGCTTCGATCTATATTATGTTTGTGTTTATTCTGATTAGCAGAAGACAGTGCAGGTCAAGCGGCGTTGGTGTTCTACAGTGACGGAGTGTAAGAACCACTGTGGGTGGCTGCGACAGCGGTGTAAGTAATTTCAAATTGTGTGATGGCTCACAATTTGAAATTCAGTTTTGCTGTAATTATTGATACCTATTTATTGATCATGATCTCCTAAAGAAGAAACGATGTTGAAGAGTGTAGTGTCAGTAGTGTCGTTTTTACTCTAGTGTTTTTGTTTTTAATTCCGAGTTATCATCGTAACACCAGAATGTCGTATTAAAGATACATAAGCAGAAACAACTGGTACGTACGTGAATAGTTTAATGAACTGTATTATTTGCATAAAATAATCACGGATACAGCCACAGGCAAAGCAGAGTATTTATACAGGTGGAGCTTCCCAGCGTATGAGTTCAACGTAATGTCAAACACCTATCTATATCAGAAATAATTTTACGTCTAAATTTAAACCGTGCATAAGAATTCACAACACAGCGCGCGAGACAGTGAGATAGTGCGAGTCTCTGTTCCCTTGCCAATCGGTGCGACATTGTAGCTATTGACACGGGCCGCGGTGCGCTGCCGGCGCGGTGTGACTATTTCGAGTGGAGACAGGCACGCGCGGCGCAGGTCCGCTCGCCCTGGGCCCTCTCAATGAAAAAACTTTCTCCCCATAAGAGAGCCGGGCGGCCCCGTCGACGCTGCCGCGGTCTACGGTACATATCGCATCACCGCCCGCCCGCAATTTCGCGTAAAATTGGCAGCGTGCGTCGGGCGGGCGGCGGTGGCGCGGAGCGTCGCTCCCGAAATAGTGTTCGGGTGCGGTCGTGAGCGGTCGGCGGCGCCGGCGCAGTCGCCGTGAGGCCGCGCGCGCGCACCCGCGTCCTGCAGCGTCCGCCGCACGCCTGCTAGCTAAGTGAGGAGCTCGCGAACCGGTGCGCAGCTCCACGGTGCGCGTATTTCGGTCGCGAGGAGGCCCCGGGCCGCGTCGGGCGCGCTGCCCGCGCGCTGGCCGCCGTGCTCTGGTGGTGCGTGGCGCTGCTGCGGCTGGTCGCGCTCTGCGCTCCCCCCGGCGAGCCGCCGCCCCCCGCGCCCCACGCGCTCCCCGCGCCTACCGCGCGCGGTGCGGAAGATGCGCCCGAGGCGCCCGCTTGCGCGAGCGCGCCACCACCATCCAACGCCACCGAACCGCCGCCGCCCGCGGCCGATCCGCCCGCACACGCCGGTCAGTATAATATGCTGCACCTGCCTGCGGTTACCACCCCCTGCTCGCCACCCCGGAACGATGAATTGTTACACTGTCGATGCTTATTTCAGAAAACACTTTACAAATGTAAAAAAAAGTCGGTTGTTCCACGAGACACCTTCTTAACTATGACTGTTTACCTCTGACCGCTTGGCGCTTCATTCATCCTAACCTCTTACCCTCGATTTGTCACAGAACTGGGCGCACTCTTCAACAGTCGCTGCGCCTATAGATGCACGTTAGTGAGTGTGCGCGTTACGTGTTGTAAACTATAAACAACCCACTCGGATTCATTGCCCTACATTTTTATAACTTCGAAAGGGAAATTTGACCGACTTTTCGGAAAAACATAGTAAAAATATTCTAATTTATGTTAAATGTTTCCATATAACCTACAATTTTTTATCCTATAGTAAAACTGATTTTAATTGTATCGATTAATTATTTTTGGTTTTGTTAAAAGTAACATAGCAAAAACTACATAGAAAGAATAAAAGAATAAGGAGAAAATCCTGGAGTACCTTATAATAGGGGCATAAACACAAACTAACTAATACTCCGCAACTACTATAAAATAAGTAAGCATCCTTTTTTTCTTAAATAAATTCGTGCAATTAAAGAAACATTATACATGTTTCTTTAATTGCACGAATGAACAACAAAACAATGTTTCCTTATCATCAAATGTAATAGTTACAATCTGCGATGTATTTAACAAAGTGAGAGTTTCTACTGTCGAAACATATGCAGAAAAACATATGTCCATCTCTCCCATTGTCTTTGAAAAAAAAACATACGTTTCGGTATAGGTTTTACGATGAAAACTCACGACAACACGTAATACTTAAAATCAATAACGACCACAGCTGCCTTCGCCCGTACATTCGTTGATATAACAGCCATTATTTAAGGAAGAAAGACCCATATTATAGAAGTAAAAAAGCGAAGTCGAATATTTATAAAGTTGAAAAAAAAATTAACACTGCAAATACCGCAGTGCCTGCCGTAGGGCGTTTGCATCTAGGTTATCAGAGCGAAGGTTCTACCGCTCTAAAGTTTTACACCCCCTTTTGCCACCCTTGTCCTCCTTTAGTACACCACACACTGCGGCTCGCATACACGTTTATTCATAACACACCGATATAAATTAATGTTTCTCCGTTTCTGAGAATTTTTTAGAACTATCATTGTATCACGCAGATAGGTCACAGTAACAATTAACGAACAATGATAAGAGGGATAAGTGATGTAAACACCAAAAATAATGAACCGGAATACGAGTTCGCGTCAAATGTTTTGCTAATCAGCCCCAACGCACGTGAACAACATTCGTATACAACATGAAATTAACAATTAATACTATTTTCATGATAAAACTTTTCTTGTTCAATATAATATAGTCATTATCTTTTATTTAACGAATAAACAATACAGTTTCTCACACAGATTGTAAAAAAAGTAATCAATTTATTAGAACTACTGAATATTACTTATTATTTAAATACTAGCGATCTCCTGTGACTCGTTCCGCGCGGAATTAAAAAAACATAATTAATAGCCTATGTGTTCTTCCAGACTATGGTCTACACGTATACCAAATTTTATCGAGATCCGTTCAGCCGTTTTGGTGGTACCTTTAAACAAACATCCATCCATCTATCTAAACATTCGCATTCATAATATTAGTAAGATTTCATAAAATAAAAGAAAGACATTTACTTTTACCTATTATATAATACGACTTTAACGTGGCGTTTAATGGAATGCCACGTGTTTAAAAAAAAAACAAAATGTCACAGTTAAGTAAAAGTCAGAAGGTTTATTAAAACTAAAATGTTATTTGGTTTTTACATGTCTTGTAATAGGAACAATAACAGTTTTATAACCTATTATTATGACCTACAAACTGCGCTGTCTAACAAGAGCCATACACATCGTCCTCGCCACGTTCATTGTTGACACTAATTAATGTGTAAAGACTTTTAATGATTCTGCTGCTATGAAAGTTATAATTGCAAAAACACATGTCTTAATAGCAAAAGGCACCGTGTGGCTTGCCGTAGGATATATATCATTTTCATTATTTACACTTAAATCAAGATCTGAGAATAGGTAAAGAAATTACTAGTTGATAAATATTTTCCTAATCGACATCCCAACAGTTAATAGTTATACTCGTAGATATAGACAAATATAAATCTTACCGTAGGTTTCCGAGTCCAAAATCCCCATTTAAAACTTATTGACATATCTGTTTTGTCGAAGTCAGGGATGACCATATGATTTATACAGAGATTTTGTTGTTAGAAAGGTTAGTGCGCAGAGAAACGAGTAGACATTTCTGGTTATTCTTTTGCATGATTATGTCGCTTCTTTTGTATCTATCTCTATCATGTCACCGATATTATGATAACATCCAAGAATGTCTAGTTCGCTTTTAAGACTAGCTATTACTCACTTTTCCCGCGCATTGTATTCGGCGATTTTACTTACACAATCATATTGTTATTTTAAAATAAAAAAAAACATACGTACTCATGTTTACCAACATAACAGCTTAATATTAATGACATTCACACTCAAAAGTCATTGTGTCACTCACACCACTTGAGGCAATTAATTGCCCGCTGCCTCCACAATTAATAAGAAGTAACACTTGTATTTTATTGACCTGGTCCACGTGTGTAGCGTGCATCGCGAGAACTGCGTTTCGTTTTAGGCACATGTTTAATCATATTTTTTTATGTGATAACACTTGTGAATATAAAATCTAGCGTGAGAAATATAAAGATAACATGGATAACCAAATGCGTATAAACATTTGTTTTTGGTAACAACTTCTAAAAGCCCGCTTCCAATCTATCTATTTTTATATTACTCGCATTGTTATCATTTCTTCCTTTCTTTTTTAATATTTAACATGGCTTAGTTTCTAATCTATATTTTTAATAGATACATTAACAAACATCAACCAAAATGGGACAAATAGCGACACAATATTCGTTGTAAACCTAAAAACTATAGTTTTTGGTAAGTAAAACGAAACGGGCTTACGAGGAACTAGCTGTCGCCGCGGAATTAAGAAAAAAAAACTTAATAAAATAAAAAAACTAGCCTATGTGTTCTTCCAGACGTTCTACATCTATGTCAAATTTCAGCGAGATCCATGCAGCCGTTCTAGAGTTACCTGTTAACAAACATCCATCCATTCATCTAAACTTACGCATTTATAATATTAGTAAGATTAGTAAGAAGTAAGATTATTTCCAGTAATATGTTCGGTGTCGCCGGTTACTAATCAGTTAATAATATTTTATCTCGTTGTAATAATAATAACCGACACAATAAAGAAGGATAATCATCGCATAGAACATTGATAGTGCGAATAAGTACATAAGTAATTGTCGTCGCGGTTGATAAGTTAATTTCGGCCACTGGGTAACAAGGACTAACGAAATAAAGAATTTGTCAATAAGAGCATACATCGACTTTATTCAATTACGTCACTTTTCAATATTGCGAAATATTGTTTTATGTATAATCAATTTATTATATAGATAAGTTAGTATCGTAAAATAGTAATAATAATTGACTTTAAATCGAAAATAAATTGAAAATATAACACGAAAATATTTAATAATTCTCATCACACGTATGTAGGTATTATTACAAATATTTTTAAATAATGCTTCACGAAATAGTAATAATCATCATCGTCATCCTGCCCGTTCCCTGTCATGCATCGCTGCCAGCCACAATGTCTCAATTCACTCTCTTCTTAAGCATTCCTCTTTTACACAAATCAATCCATATATTCTTAAATCTTTCTCTATCTTTGAAGCCATTTAATCACATCAATGTCTCTTTTATGTACTATCAACTACATAAATATTTTCACATTTATAATGCTTCAGAAAATTACATAGGCCTTCAGTTTTAAATAAATATACGAACGCTTTCGCTAATAGCATATATACGTGCAAACGTATTATGAAACCGAAAGTGTATACAGGTTTCTGAATCTTTGTAAATGTATTTATGCAGGTGACTGTACCCATCACTTCTCCGCATAACTTCACTCCGCAGTTTTCTGGTATAATTTCCTAAGAAACTATAACTTTTTCAGATTTATCTTCCGTAAAAATTGTATTTTATACCAGAAAAACTAGCTACCGATTGTCAAACGCCCCGGAATCGTCCCTCTGGAATAAAATCCAATCAAACCTGCCCGTAATTAAAAAAATTACTAGCGAATCTATCTCTGTTCTAAATTACATTCAGATCAGTTTAATCGCTTTATAAACATCAAACTTTCGTATTTGTAATATAAGTAAGATATAAAAAATATAAAAAGTTTTAAAAACTTAAAATCGAAATTTTATGCATATCGAAGGTTTGAAATAAGGTTATTAAAAGTGAAAATAGTTAAAATAAAACAATAAGTTATGTTATGACTAAACAACTTGCGTGACGTGAATGTCCAAAGTTCGAATTAAGTTGATAAATTAAATTGAGTAAGTACAAGAATATGACAAAAATAGGGACGTAATAATAGGCTTTGCCATCCACGCGAAACTGTGGCGGAGTAATAGTATTCCTATGAACTGGTTAACAGAAAAAAATATAAATGTATACATCCACTGGTCGACAGTTACGGTTACTATTTCATCTGTAATGTTACGATAAAAGTAACGCTATAATAATTATATAACACAGTTTACTATAATGTGATTTAATAATTTTGATTAAAAATAACTCGCGTACCATACTCCATTTTTTAAAACATAAAAAACAATAACCATACTTACACCTTTTTCTTTACCAAAATTTCGGAACGGAATTAAAATATCTTTTACAATATATCTTTCGATTATTGATTCTCAATAGTCTCGAGGAAACATCAAGCGGGATACCAAGAATCGAAGATTAGGGAGTTTTTGCGTAGCCTGGGAAGGCTAGGGTGGGGACACGGGGCACGG